AAAGACATGACAACGGTTGATTCAGCTACTGAAGATTCATTAACTGAAGAGAAGACAATGATTGTTAATGTAACAGTTGAAGAACTATCAACAATTGAGAAAACAACTGCTGATTTAACAACTGAAATACCAGCAACAAAAACATCAACAAAGGTCGATACTACTAGTGATAAATTTACAGTGGAATGGCAAACAGCTGTAACTAAAGAATTGACAACGGAAGACAAGAAAACTACCAATGCAACCACTGTAGAATCGTTAACTAACCGGTGGACCACGGTAAATTCAACAAATGAAGAATCATCTACAGTACAGAAAACGACTACTGATGTAGCAACTGAAGTACCAACGTTGGAAGAAGATACACCAGTCTATAGAACTTCCATAGAATCAACAGCGGAATGGCAAACATTGTTGGACATAACAACTAAAGAATTGATGACGAAAGACATGACAACGGTTGATTCAGCTACTGAAGATTCATTAACTGACGAGAAGACAATGGTCGTTAATGTAACAGTTGAAGAACTATCAACAATTGAGAAGACAACTGCTGATTTAACAACTGAAATACCAGCAAGAAAAACATCAACAGAAGTCGATACCACTAGTGATAAATTTACAATGGAATGGCAAACAGCTGTAACTAAAGAATTGATAACGGAAGACAAGAAAACTACCAATGCAACCACTATAGAATTGTTAACTAACCGGTGGACCACAGTAAATTCAACAAATGAAGAATCATCTACAGTACAGAAAATGACTGCTGATGTAGCAACTGAAGTTCCAACGTCGGAAGAAGATACACCAATTTATACAACTTCCATAGAATCAACAGCTGAATGGCAAACATTGTTGGACATAACAACTAAAGAATTGATGACGAAAGACATGACAACGGTTGATTCAGCTACTGAAGATTCATTAACTGGTGAGAAGACAATGATCGTTAATGTAACAGTTGATGAACTATCAACAATTGAGAAAACAACTGCTGATTTAACAACTGAAATACCAGCAACAAAAACATCGACAGAAGTTGGTACTACTACTGACGAATTTACAGTGGAATGGCAAACAGCAGTAACTAAAGAATTCACAACGGAAGAAAAGAAAACTACCAATGCCACCACTATAGAATCGTTAACTAACCGGTGGACCACGGTAAATTTAACGAATGAAGAATCATCTACAGTACAGAAAATGACTGCTGATGTAGCAACTGAGGTAGCAACAATAGAAGAATCAACAATGTTCGAAGCTACTACTGAAAAATCAACAGCTGAATGGAAAACAGCGATTGATATAACAAGTAAAAACATTACAACAAAAGACAAAATAACGATCGTTGCAACTACCGAGAAATCCTTAACTGATGAGATGACGACCGTTAATGTAACAATCGAAGAGTCATCATCTTTTCAGAAAACAAATGCTGACGTAACAACTGAAGTACCAACATCGGTAGAAAATACACCAGTCTATACAACTTCATTAGAATCAACAGCAGAATGGCAAACATTGTTGGACATAACTAAAGAATTGGTGACGAAAGACATGACAACGGTTGATTCAGCTACTGAAGATTCATTAACTGAAGAGAAGACAATGATCGTTAATGTAACAGTTGATGCACTGTCAACAATTGAGAAAACAACTGCTGATTTAACAACTGAAATACCAGCAACAAAAACATTGACAGAAGTTGATACTACTACTGACAAATTTACAGTGGAATGGCAAACAGCAGTAACTAAAGAATTGACAACGGAAGACAAGAAAACCACCAATGCAACCACTATAGAATCGTTAACTAACCAGTGGACCACGGTAAATTCAACAAATAAAGAATCATCTACAGTACAGAAAACAACTGCTGATGTAGCAACTGAAGTACCAACGTCGGAAGAAAATACAGCAGTCTATGCAACTTCCGTAGAATCAACAGCGGAATGGCAAACATTGTTGGACATAACAACTAAAGAATTGATGACAAAAGACATGACAACGGTTGATTCAGCTACTGAAGATTCATTAACTGAAGAGAAGACAATGATCGTTAATGTAACAGTTGAAGAACTACCAACAATTGAGAAAACAACTGCTGATTTAACAACTGAAATACCAGCAACAAAAACATCGACAGACGTTGATACTACTACTGACGAGTTTACAGTGGAATGGCAAACAGCAGTAACTAATGGAATCGCAGACAGCAGTAACTAAAGAATTGACAACGGAAGACAAGAAAACTACCTATGCAACCACTATAGAATCGTTAACTAATCAGTGGACCACGGTAAATGCAACAAATGAAGAATCATCTACAGTACAGAAAACTACTGCTGATGTAGCAACTGAAGTACCAACGTCGGAAGAAGATACACCAGTCTATATAACTTCCATAGAATCAACAGCGGAATGGCAAACATTGTTGGACATAACAACTAAAGAATTGATGACGAAAGACATAACAACGGTTGATTCAGCTACTGAAGATTCATTAACTGACGAGAAGACAATGGTCGTTAATGTAACTGTTGAAGAACTATCAACAATCGAGAAAACAAATGCTGATTTAACAACTAAAATACCAGCAACAAAAACATCGACAGAAGTTGATAATACTACTGACGAATTTACAGTGGAATGGCAAACAGCAGTAACTAAAGAATTGACAACGGAAGATAAGAAAACTACCAATGAAACCACTATAGAATCGTTAACTAAGCGGTGGACCACGATAAATTTAACGAATGAAGAATCATCTATAGTACAGAAAACGACAGTTGATGTAGAAACTGAGGTAGCAACAATAGAAGGATCAACAGTGTTTGAAGCTACTACTGAAAAATTAACAGCTGAATGGAAAACAGCGATTGATATAACAAGTAAAAACATCACAACAAAAGACGAAATAACAATTGTTGCAACTACCGAGAAGTTCTTAACTGATGAGATGACGACCGTTAATGTAACAATCGAAGAGTCATCATCTTTTCAGAAAACAAATGCTGACGTAACAACTGAAGTACCAACATCGGAAGAAAATACACCAGTCTATACAAC